CCGTGTTCGAACCAGAGGAGGAGGAGGAGGAGGAGGAGGAGGAGGAGGAGGAGGGAGGAGGAGGGGAGGAGGAGGGGGAGGAGGAGGTGAGGAGGAGGAGGGAGGAGAGGAGGAGGAGGAGGTGAAGGAGGAGGAGGAGACGGAGAGGAGGAGGAGGGAGGAGGAGGAGGAGGACGAGGAGGAGGAGGAGGAGGAGGAGGAGGAGGAGGAGGAGGAGGAGGAGGAGAGGAGGAGGAGGAGACGGAGCAGACGGAGGAGGAGGAGGAGGCGGAGGGGGGGCCCAGACACGCTCGCCTCGTGGGCAGAAAGCGTGACGGGAGGTGTGCGTGTGGCCCTTCTCGGCCCCCCGGGGGGCCCACGGCGGGCTCCGGGTCCATCACGAGAACAGCTCGGTGCGAAGAGCCGGCATTCGGAAAAGGGTCGGGACTTCCCGGGACCGCGCGTTCAAGAAGGGTCGAGACAGCGCATGTCTGCGGGGCGGCGGACCACGAGAGGTCCGGGCAGTGCATCGTTCCACATATAGCGCGGTGTCGCCCGGTTTTGGGGCCTCCGGGCCCTCACAGATCAATCCGGCTCGACAAAATGTCGCAGAAAGATGGGGGGGTCCGATCGTGTGTTTCGCGATGGTGCCATTGTTTCGCTACGTCGGATCGCAGGGGAAGAGGAAACTCGGTGATCGGCTCTGCTGCGTCGTCCTCGCTTGATCGACCATGGCAGGTTCGTGTCGCGAAGACTTGCGTGCTCGCCTCTGCCAACGCGTGGATCGATCAAGCCTGAATGGCCGTGGCTTCCTGAAGAGCGGGATAGTTCAGTATCGACCGACGCCGATTCTGGGCCACTGGCGGAGCGCAGCCTCGAACGCCCGCGGTGGGGTCGCCACAGCACTGACGCGGCGCGAACCTGCCGTGTGTGCTCGCTCTCGCTCTTTCTCTCTCTCTCTCTTTCTCTCTCTCGCTCTCTCTATGTCTCTTTCTTTCTCTCTCTCTCTCTCTCTCTTTTTTCGGATGCGCCGAAAAGGGGGACAGGAAGAGGGGGGCTGTAGCGCAACATGGCCCGAGGCACGTGCGCGGGCGATGAGGGGGGGCCCTGGAATGCATCGTTTGACGAGACAACAGAAAAACACGAAATCTGTCAGACCTCATGGCCCCAGCCATGAGATCCACGAGCCCCCACTCGTCACCCCGCTCTTGGATGCCCCCGAACTCGAAAGCCCGCGCCTTCGACGAACCGCCCAGGACCCTGGCGCGCAGTTGGGTGGGCGTGCGGATGGCTAGGCGCCCCAACGCTGAGCCTCGCCGGCGTGGGCGATCATCGGAAGCCTCCGTGAAGAGGTCCGAGTAGATGGGATCGGAGAACCGCGCCGCATCGCCAATGCATCGCCGATGCATCGGCGAAGTCGGCGACGCATAGGCGCCATTGGCGTGGAGAAAAACGGGCCCCACATCAGACCGCATCGCCGATGCATCGGCGACGCGGCGCGGTCCGCCGACCCTCTCCACTTCGACCCCATTTGGGAGGCCTGGACTATTGAGAACACTTCCTTCGCTGGTAACGTTTTGTTTGTTATTTCTTTCTTTATGTATTTTTCTTTCTTTATCTCTCTCTCTCTCTCTTTCCCTCCCTCTCCCGACATCGCTAGGACGCCAATGCCCGGATCGTGGTCGGTTTCGTGCGCTCGTCTTGTTGATGTTTCTCAGGGTGGCCCAGTCTGCTCCAAGATGGCCCGGACTTTCTGGCGCTGGTCTCACTGAGCATTTTCTGGCCCCATCGGCGGCGAGGCAGGGGCGGCAGTCCGCTCCAGCGCGTGGCCACTCGCGAGGCAGCCGACAGGCAAAGTGGCCGGCGTGCAGAAGGGGGGAGAGAGAGAGAGAGAGAGAGAGAGAGAGACGCGAGCGACCGCGCGCCTCGCTGAGAAGCACGCACGCGTCCGAGCGACGCCAAGCTCTCCGTCTCTCTCTCGCACCACCGTGGGCGCGGCGGCGGACAGGGTCGAGGCCCTGCCGCTGGCGCGCAGCCCCGTCCTGCGGGGGCGATGCCGACCTCTCGTCGGCGGCCCGCGCGTCCGCGGGGAAGCTCTCTCTTTATTTGTTTCTCTTTTTTTTTTTTTTCTCTCTCTCTCTCTCTCTGTCCATCTCTCTCTCTCTCTCTCTGTTTCTTTCCCTCTCTCTCTAACTCTCTCTCTCTCTCTCTCTCTCTGTTTCTCTCGGCCAGACGCGCCCGCTAGGCCGTGCGGCGCGGGCACGCGGGGCCCTGGCGGTGATCATCACTGCGCCCGTGAATGCGTTCTCCGTTGTGTCTTCGCCTCGGGGCCCCCGTCGGCGGGGCACATCTCCCGTCCACGGGGCACATGGCGATGGCCTCTTCGGACGCCCGAGACGGGTGCGGAAGACTGAAGGGGCCCTGGGACACACAAATAAATACACACAAATAAAAAACTTCCCCATATTTTCGCATACTTTCTGGGTTTTTGTCTCCCCCCCCCCACTTCCCATATTTTCCCATATTTTCCTGGGCATCGTCGATGAATTGTGTCTGTGTGTTTTTCTTTCCCTCCTGAAAGACACAGGTGCAGTGCCAAACGACAGATGCTGTGCAGAACCGACAGCGGCCGCCGTCGGGCAGGCGGCCTGCCGCCCGAAAGCACAACAGGAACTCTGCGGCGCCCGCATCTTTCCGCACCCGCGTCGATCGTGCCGAGGCCCCGGCCGCTCGTGTCTCCCGCCGCGGCCTCTGCTGCTCGCCCTCCGTCCTCGCGGGGACGCTGGAGAGGACGCCTGGGGACCCTGCAAGCTCGAGGAACCAGCCTCGAAGGATGCCCGAAGGAGCTTCGAAGGAGCTGCGGACAGAGAGAGGCTTCCGGCACGCGCATCGGGGGCGAGTAGAAAAAAACGCTTTGCCAGAAGACGCTGCAGCTTCAAGCAGGGCGCTGCTCCCCAAAGCCCGCCAACCCTGCATGTACAGGAACCCCAAAAACACCGGGCGCCAACGTGCCGGCCCACGGGAGCCCCTCGGCGCGACGCCGGCTGAGCACCGCGAGCGCCGGCGCAGGCTGCGTGCTGCCTCGGCGGCGCGGAGCGGGGCGCGCGCGAGCACACACACACACACACGCACACACACACACACACACACACACACACACACACGCACACACACACACACACACGCACACACACACACACACACACACACACACACACACACACACACACGCGCGCGCGCGCGCGCGCGCGTTGAGCGCCAACAGGGCGGCGCAGCGCCTGCCCGCCCAAGAGTCCGCGGCCGCGCGCGGCGGCGGCCAGCAAGGAAGTGGCCGGGCCCCGGTGGGGCTGCAGCCGCAGCCAGCAAGCGGCGGGCCAAGGGGGCCGCGCGGGCCGCCGGGGCAGCAGGGGAGGGGGGGGGGGCGCGCACGGGCGAACGGCCGCGCGGGAGGCCAGGCACAGGCGGGACGGCAGGCGGACGACCGAGGGCGGCGCGCCGAGGCAGGCGGGGTGCCCACCAGAGTCCAGCGCGCGTGGGCACGCGGCCGAGGCCGGGCGCCAGGGCCGTCGAAGGGATGCGCCCGGAGGCAGGGAGGCCGGCGGGACCCGACCAGGGCAAGGGGCTGCGGGGGGGGGCGCGCGGCGGGGGAGCCACGGCGTGGCGAACAGCGCACGGCGAGCAGCCCGAGGACCGAGCCGGCGCGCCGACCGCCCGGGATCGCGCGGCGGGAGCGCGGCGAGGCGAGCTGAGGAGGGTGGCGCGGGCGGCCGCCCGCGGCGAGCAGTACAGGGGGCCCACGCTGGTGGTCAGCCATTGGAGAGACCCGCGGCAGGGATGCCGCTGCCGCAGAGAGGCAGCAGAGAGGGCACGGCGGGAGGCCCGGGAGGATCACAGGGGTCGGGGCAACGCGGCATGGTGCCGCGCGGCCCTGTGAACCGGGGGCGCGGAGCGATCAGCACAGAGGGCCCACCCTGCAGGGCGATCTGCCTGGAGCCCTGGCCCGCCTGGGTGGCAGGGGCTGTGGGCGGGGGGCGGGATGGAGGGGGAGGGCGATCGTGGCGCCCACCCTGGCGATCAGCAGGCGCAGGAGGCGCCGAAGCAGGGAAAGAGCAGCGTCGGTGGCCCTCCCGGTGGGCCAGGGGGGGGCCAGGTGCCGGCAAACGCGCGACAGACTGCGGAGCGAGGTGGGCCTCGCAGCTGGAGATGGAGCGCGGAGCGCTCAGCCCAGAGGCCCCACCCTGGCAGTCGTCGCGCCGGGTAAAGACGCCACCAGCGCTAGGCGGGAGCCGGAGTGCTGGAAAAGGGGCGCGCGCCGGGAGCTGGAGGGCGGCCCGAGGACTGCGACCAAGACTGGGGGCGGGAGGCCAGCCGAGGTGCCAAAGGGCAAACGGAAGGGCCGTGCTGGCACGGACCGCCGGAACCCAGCCGTGTCGACATCGGAGGCGACGCAAAAAGGCGGCGGCAGGCGCGCGCACCGCGAGCCGCCGAAGGCCCACCAGCCCTCTGGGCGTCGGTGGCTTCACGAGTTTCGCATTCTCTCTGCCCAAACCCGTCCTTCCCCTGTTCGGGGGAGGGGGTTATGGTTTATCGGTGTTTCCCTATGGAGAAACACAGGCGACCGGCAGCCAACCAGGACCAATGAGACCCCCCACTCATCCCTGTCAAAAAACAAAGTGAAGTCCACTTTGGGGTAAAGTCGTGGGTCATGATCGGGGGGGCGTAAGCCCTTTGTATTGCTTTTTGATAGGGACGGCTGGGGTGCCCGCAGATTGCCTGCTGCGCGCAGGGCCAGCGTCCCTGCCTTCCCCACACACACAAAAAAAACAATACAGCATGCACTCGAGGCTAACTCTGGATCATGCGCGGGCACCCCGCGATCACTGCGCATTGGTCTTTGACTGGGACCGTGGGGGGGCCAGCACACAGCCTGCTAAGTGCAGGCCAACCAAGCGCTATGATGGCCACCCCGCCGCGATTGCGCACTGGTTTTCGACAATGGCGGTGGGGGCCGACACGTTTCC